TTTTGACACTTTCTATTTTTTTTTTCTCTTTGGTAAAGAGACTACATGCCGCGGCTGTTAAATAGAGTTCGAACGTGCGACGGAAATGCGACGGAAATGCGACGGACTCCAATATTGCGACGGACGCACAACAGAATGCGACGGAATTAGGTCAAAACGAATAAAACGTGTTTAACTACCTGCGACGCACCGAATCCGTCGCAGTGCCGACGGAAATGTCTGTCCCCATCCGTCGCTACTTTTGTGCGACGCAATATATCCGTCCCACTCCGTCGCATAATTTTCCGACGAAAGTTCGGTCGCAAATATCGGTCGCAGTCCGTCGCAATCCGTCTGACAAAATTACCGACGGAAATATTCGTCGGTTGTTGTCGAAATTTTTCGACGGATTGCGCGACGGGTTACGACGGATGCAAATCCGTCCCATTACCGTCGTTGTCCGTCGCAAATATCTAACGCGACGGAATTTCCGTCGCATCGTCCGTCGGTATATACAGTTTTTCTTGTAGTGTGAGAGGTGACAAAGTCATCTTCCAGGTGACATGTTCGAATCCACTAGTGGCAAGATGTAATTTATGGATCAAAATAATCTATATACAAAGACTGATCCCGAATCTAGGATGGATGTAGTCGATGCGAAGACTTGGAAAACCATCATGTTTATAAAAAAACATTAATCATATTAAAAAATATAAGTCCATAATAGATATATTTAATTCTAAGTATTTTTCAATAAACAACATGTTTTGGTTACGACATTAGCTTTATAGAACGGTAGAGGTAATTAATTAAGAATTAATTTATTTCAGTGGAAGGATAATAGAAAATGAAGCTAAATGATCCGAAAGAAAAAGCAAAATAAAAATAAAAACAAAAATGCTCTTACAGCAAATATTCTACCATATTCAACCAAATCCCACGACATCTCATAAATGAAATTCCATTCACAAAATATATTTTTTTAACCCATAGGTCCAAGATGTTTTTGTTGTATATTAGGAGTGGTCCTTCTCTTTGTTAATCGGGTTACTCACATGTATGCATGTGTGTATACACACGTTTTATATGGAAGATATTTGTTTGTGTAATATATATTATATATATATATATATATAATATAGAAATAATCTTCATTCTAATCATATAATGTTTGCCCTTTGTAATCATACCTTATGTTGTTGCCTTTGATCTTTTTAGCTTATAAGTTGAATGGTCCATTCAATTGTGTACTCAATTGCATTCATCTTTTGTATTTGACTACTTATTTCTTTCCATATTTTTTGAAATTTTCATTGGTAAACAAACATCATATAATATAATATTTTAGCTAGATTTATGATTTTTTTAACACTTAGGGAATATATTTAATGGTGTCTAATTCATTGTTTTCTAGGCTTAACACTCTTTGTATAATCCTAAGCCCATGATAACTAATGCTTATATATATATATATATATATATATTATGTATGTTTTAGATATATGAAATGTTATAATTTTGTTTCTCAATTCTCTAATCGAATATAAGTGAACCTACAAATATGTTGGACAATGGGTTACTCATCATAATGATGATTATATTTACAAAGTAGAAGTTGGGCCAGAGGCCCATTATGGCCCATGTTGGGTTTTTTTTTTAAATATTATTTTTTGAGTTACAAAATGGTTCGAATTTCTAACTAAAATTTAACCCACTCTTTTGTTTTCGTAAAATGAAATCAAGACGGAGTCACATATTTAAACTGTTTTTATTAACATTTATAAAGTGATAACAAACCATAAATTATTACCATTTACCAATAATGTATACATTATGTTTTGCAACTTGAATGGAATATACATTTAGTGAATAATTAATTATAGAATGTTTTGTTTTTATAATATGGTTCTATTTTTAATCATTTATAACATTCTCTGTTATGAATAACCCTCGCTATCTGCAAAGTTCCAAGTTTTGACTTTCATGTGCTCCTAATCAGACAAATAATCAGATTTTAGTACATAATCGTGCGTTTTGTATGTATAATTATGCCACGTAAGGCGAGATTTGTCTTAGTATTTAATATTTATACATTTAAAATGTTAGTGGGATTTGGGATAATGATCCTAAGCGGGCGGGAGCATGGGAATACTGTGGACCGTAGCTTTACGATCGTTGATTTAATTTCGCTCTTTTTTGGAGATTGAATCCTGACAAATTGAAAATGACGCTTCTTTTGAGGTTTGGTTAGGTCTCTCTGTCGTTGTAAAGTTCTCAAGAGCTTCGCTACGAAGCTCTGTAGGATAAGAACCGTACACCGTCGCATCTCAGCCGTCAGATTTCCCGGAGAAATGGGCCAATCATCTTCGGTGGTTTCCGTGCTCCGTCGTGGCCGATCTAAAGCTCCGTCGACTTCCTCCGCCGTGATCCTTCAGGCGATCGCCAGTGAAGGTGGAGGACGAGGAGAAGAGGACACCTCCACCGCAACAGTTTCCGGAGATACGTACGATTACACCTCCAACTTGCCAGACGATTGCTTGGCTTGCATTTTCCAGTCGCTTAGTTCTGGCGACCGGAAACAGTGCTCGCTCGTCTGCCATCGGTGGTTGAGGATCGAGGGACAGAGCCGTCGCCGTCTCTCGCTCAAAGCGCAGCCCGATCTTCTCCTCATGATCCCTTCACTGTTCTCGCGGTTCGATGCCGTTATCAAACTCGCTCTGAAGTGCGACCGTAGATCTCCCAGCATCGACGACGAGGCGCTCGTGAAGATCTCCGAGCGGTGTCAAAATCTGACACGGCTCAAGCTACGCGCCTGCCGCGATGTCTCCGATGTTGGAATGGCCGCGTTCTCGGAGAATTGCAAGGGATTGAAGAAGCTCTCGTGTGGATCCTGCGCTTTTAGAGCCAAAGGCATGAATGCAGTGCTCGACAACTGTTCGTCTCTCGAGGAGCTGACGGTGAAGCGGCTTCGAGGCATCGCCGACGGAGCTGCGGCGGAGGCCATAGGTCCCGGAGCCGCGGCAGCTTCACTGAAGACGATTTGCTTGAAGGAGCTCTACAACGGTCAGTGCTTTGCCCCTTTGTTGATCGCAGCTAAAAACCTTAGGTCTTTGAAGATTTTCAGGTGTTCTGGCGATTGGGATAGGGTTCTTGAGGATGTGGCTGATCATGTCAATGGGATCGTCGAGATTCATCTCGAGAGGATCCAGGTGAGTGATTTGGGTCTCGCCGCAATATCGAATTGCTCCAACATCGAGATTCTGCACCTTGTGAAAACCCCTGATTGCACCAATACTGGTCTGATCACTCTGGCCAAACACTGTAAGCTTCTAAGAAGGCTTCACATTGATGGATGGAAGGCGAATCGGATCAGCGATGAAGGGCTTATCGCCGTTGCGAAATCCAGCTGGAATTTGCAGGAATTGGTTCTGATAGGGGTAAACCCTACAAAGTTGAGTATAGAAGCATTTGCCTCGAACTGCCAGAACTTGGAACGATTAGCATTGTGCGGAAGTGAAACAGTAGGAAACCCCGAGTTATGTTGCATTGCTGAAAAATGCGTAGCTTTGAGGAAGCTTTGCATCAAGAACTGCCCGATTACGGATGAAGGGATGGAAGCTCTCGCCGTTGGATGTCCAAATTTGGTGAAAGTGAAGGTCAAGAAGTGTAGAGGAGTGACCCTCGAAGGCGTAGATTGGTTGAGGACGAAAAGGACGTCGCTTGCAGTGAATTTAGATACCCCGGAGCAAGAAAACCAAGAGCGTAGTGCCAGTGAGACCGGAGCTCGAGAGAGTGGAATGGAGTTCCCTGCTCTACCGCGAGGCCAAGTTCCGGCCCTCGGCCTCAGCAATGGCATATCGTCCTCCGGTACTAGCCGGACAGCGGCGTTTAGGTCAAGATTAGGGTCCTTGACTCGACGAAACTTAGTGGCATACACACTGAGAAGATGGGGAAGTCCCAATATCGATTCTCTGAACGATTAGGTAAGCAAGTGAAGGAGTGTATCCATTCTCTATTTTTGGTGTCTGCTTGTTGCTGTTTCATATTTGATTCGTGAATTTTGCAGTACTGTTCCTGAGTTCTAATGGAACAAAGCAATACAGAATGTTACCAAATTCATATGTAAACACCATTCGTTGATTGAATCATGGCTTTGTATTGTATCAAGATTCAGATTCTACTGTGTTTTCATCTGTTGAAACATTCATGGACAGATAGAATACTCCCTCCGTTTAACTTTACATGACGCTTTGACATCATGCACAGATATTAAGAAAATAAATATTATGTCTAAAATATCCTTATTTAATCAAAATTAATTTTATGTAATTAATGATAGTTTGTCATATTAATAAGGGTAATAGTGGAAAAAAGTATAAAAAATGCATAGAAAACAGTAAAACGTCATTTATTTTAAAACAAAAAAATTAGCCTAAAACGACATCTAAAATTAAACAGAGGGAGTACATGTTAGCGAATCCTCTCTCTGAAACATCAAGTCCAAGCATGTTCTTAGGATCTTGTCGGAGACCAGAATTCAATCCGCTTTATTATTATTGTCTTCTCGTTTGTGTACGGTCTCCGCAATAATAAAAAGAATACCCTGATTTCAATATCCTATCTTCTTTATAATTTGTAAGTAAATTAGAAGATTAATACCTTTAACTTGTTAAAATTTTAAAATAAAACCTCGACTTTATTTTTTTATCTATTAAAATCCAAACTTTGATATTCATATTTAATAAACCCGAACTTTATAAACCATGTCAAATTTAATTCTAATCGCTAACATGACAATTTGAACGATAACGTAACAATTTTGACTTTCTGCCATTTGGATGAATTCAAAATTATCACATAGCGATATAGGTTAAATTTGACATAATTTATAATGTTGAAGTTTATTTAAGCATGAATTTTTTTAGGTTTTAAAAGGTAAAATTAAAACTGAAGTTTTATTTTGGAAATTTTGATAAATTCAGGTATTAATCTTCTAATTTCTCTAATATAATCTTAAGAATGGACCGTATCTTTACCTTTCACTTGACTTTCTTCTCGTTCGGGACAGTGGGCTTTCCGTACAAAAGGATCTGACTCAGAATCGTCCCATTGGTCACGAATCCGAGGGCAAAACCCACAGTAACTATTAAAACGAGTTCAGTAAATAACCATGTAAGTCCATAATGCAACCTTAATTTAAATAAAATCAGTGTAATAACATGGAATTGTAAGCTAAAAACTGTACCGCTAACCGGAGCATTTTCCTGGATGCTGGTAAATACCCTAACTGAAAAAGGAAAAAAAAATGTTATATGAGACCAGAAAACATTATACAAAATGATATATTGTATTGTGTATATATATATATACACACACACATACATCAGATCTTACCCATTGAACCGCTAAAGTTCATGAATGATGTTAAGAAACTTAGCTCCCCAGTGCTTTTGTTCTGTAGATAGATTTACATTTAAGGCAATGTAAAAAAGAAATTTTGTGATGAACAGATTATATAAAGCAGAAGTGTTAACATTTTAAGGAAATTTTATGATCCAGAGATGAGATCATATCCTTCTAAGAAAAAAAAAGAAGATATCAGAGGAAAGAAATTAAAGGGAAAAAAGGAAAACTAGGGTTTGATTGCTCGGTTAGGGTTTAGGGTTTAGGGATTGATGAAACGAACACAAAAAAGATTCAAAACAACTATATAGGGCATGGAATCAAAGCTCGAAAACCCATATTCGCATAAACATGAATCTGATCGAGCAAATTCCTCAATCCTAAATCTACCGAAAGACGGAAAAAAAACTCACATTGAAGTTCTTCCATATCTGAGGGAGCCTAGCGAACAAAAACACCGCATGCTTTGAAGCCTACAACACAAGAGGCTTGCCATTAGATGGATGGAAACACTACAAGAAACTTCCAAATAGAAGAAAAAACTAAAGTTCCTTCTCACATAAAGGGCCTCGAACAGAAAAGGATCGATCTGACCAGTAAGTACAGTTGGCGCTAGAGCACAATATCTGTGTTGACACAGTATTAAGGAAAAGCCCGAGAACTGAGACGATCGTTGAACCGGCCATTCTTTATATGTGATCGGAGATTGAAAACCGTAACACGTGAATCCGAAGCAAAAAAAAAAGGATACAGAAGTGCCTTGAGCCACGTTGTTACGGGAAGAGGTCGGGAGAAATAGTAGATGCAAGCAACCACGACTATCGCTGCAAAAACAACAGAGTAGAAATACGGAAAATTTAGAAACTTTGACAGCACGAATTGCAAGCTCCGGACAAATGCATTGCAATATTACTGATCAAACTGATTTTACTAAATCAAATAGTTCAAACTGATGTAGATCAACAACAGAGTACAAAAGTTAACTTCTGTCTGAATTTATACCAAGATAACAATATCAAACGAGTCTTGAGCTCACCTTGAATCAAGAGAAAGGCCATTTCGCCAAAAGCGGAAAAGGGAAGCCCTTTGTGCAGACAATACGCCAGAGAGATGGTGTAACCGACCACTTCGAGCTCAAACGCTACAACACTGAGCCCTCTTGCACTCTTATGATGCAGAATTTTCATAATCTACAATCCATAAATTTCACACATTTCGCTGATTCAAATCAAACCCTTCAACAATTTGACCGAAGAGAGGCAAAGAACAAGGATCCTCATCCACCATAAGAACACCAAAGGACTAAACTTGGGAGTACAAGGAGGAATAAAACACGATTTGTGAAAATGGGCATTAGGGTTTTGGCGCGTGTAACCTGAGGGAGCTTGACGGTGGTGGAAACGGCGACGAGACAGTAACCGAGAAGCTTCGACATGAGAGGAAGAAGACAGTCTTTCTCCGGGAAGTCTCCGTTCCGGAGAGATCCTATAGCGCAGCTCATGTCGATTCCTAGGATACTCATCCCTGTCTTCTCCCAAAAAAAAAAAAACCAAAAATTTCAAAGAGACAGATCTTCGAGCTCTGGATCTTTGCCTTGGATCTTCGTCTCGTTTTAGTTTGCCTCGACATTGAACACTCCAACTCTTTGAAGTCGTCTTGTGGAACCCTCTGCGTGATCGAGAAGGTTCCAACAAACGCAGTCTCGGGCCTCGAAAAATCCCATCAATTTTTACTAGCGATTAACTGCGTTTGGCGTTTACTATCGCGTTTGCGTTTAACCCCACCCATATTTTCTACTCTCTCCATCAATTTTTGTTATTGCGTTTGTCATTGGTTCTGAAATTTGTAGAGAGGAATATTATAATTACTAGATAAGGATCCGCGCGATGCGCGAATTATTCTGCGTTATATTTCATTTACGTTTTTTGAAATATATTGTTATATAATTTGAAAAATTAAATAAATTATTATTTTATTATAGGATAAAACTATATCAATAATATAAAATTATTGTAAAATAATCAATATTCATTATATATCAAAGGTATGTGTCTTTCTCTATGCGATGAATATGTTTGATATCTTTTTTTATAAAATTTGTTAATATAAATATTGTAAAATGATATAAATGATTTGTTTAATGTAGGCAAAATTTATCGGTAAATTTTAAATATTGTAAAATCATTAGTGTTTACTATTTAATAAAAATAGATTTATCGTATGTTTAATTTTAATGTTATTGATTTGTTATTGGGTTCTCACTGTTTTTTCCAGATCTATACAATTTTTTTTGTAATAAGTCACTAATTAAAATGATATTATTAAATATTGTAGTTATGATTCGTTTTTAAAATTATTAAATCTATATATTTGATGATATTTAGTTTTACATCTATAGTTTAACATATTTCAAATTTATTATATTTTTTTAGAATGTATTGATATGAATATTTTTATTATATAGATATATAAATAATATATAAAATTAATTATTTTCAAATCAATATTATATTGTTCACTTTCTTCTCGATGTAGACCCATAGCTGGCTTTCTCTTAATTCTTCTTAGATTATAGAAAAAATTTGCGTTAGTGCTAAATATGTCATGGGAAATCTATACATTTTTTCCCTTTCTTGGCAAACTATACCTTTATATAAATTTTTGACAAAAATATCTTTACTTTATTATTTATTTTCAATATTGTCATTTAGCGCTCTGAAAAATGTACAGTATGAAAAACAATTTTTTTTGGAAACTGTGTTATTCAGGAGAACTGTTTTTCATCCGGGACAACTGTTTTTCATCCGGAAGAACTTGTTTTCATCCGAGAAAACTATTTTTCATCGGAAAAAATATTTTTCAACCGGACAAAAAACAGTTCTTCCATACAAAAAACAGTTTCTCTCGTATGGAAAACAACTCTTCCGGACAAAAAACCGTTCTTCCGGACAAAAAAAAACTCTCCAGGACAAAAAAACCTATCCTAGATGAAAATCAGCTCTTCGGACAAAAAACAGACTCTCGCAGACGAAAAACAGCTCTCCCAGACAAAAAATAATTGTCCCGGACAAAAAATAGACTCTCCCAGACAAAATACAGCTCTCCCGAACAAAAAACAGACTCTCCCGGATGGAAAACAGTTGTCCCGGATGAAAAAACAGTTTCCCGTATAACACAGTTTCTAAAAAAATCTGCTTTTCATGTTGTACATTTTTCGGGGCGCTAAATGACAATATTGAAATTATATAATAAAGTAAGAATATTTTTGTCAAAAAAATTATGAAAATGTATAATTTGCAAAAAAAAAGATTATATATCGATCACTTGCTGCGACGACGAAAGAGAAGGAGGCGGCTCAAGTTCTCTTTCATATGCATTTACTATTATTAAATTAACCACTACCCATAACTTAATTAAAATTAAGTTTAAAATTCTAATTAATTAAAATTACAATATTAACTTAACTAAAATTAAGCTCTTTCTCTCATTAATTTATTTTTTCCTAACTCCATTTAAAAAACTTATCATTTCTTTATCATAACTTCTTGTAATTATATTTTTTAGTTTATCTATTATCATATCATATATATATTTTATTTTAAATCATTCTAATTTAAATAACAATACACCATATTTAAAAATAAATTTATTTTGTAAAAATATTTATTATTTTCATTTTTAGATTATCAGTTTCTCCATTTTAAAAGTTTTTAAATTTAATTTTATAATAATTTTTAATCATTTTAAAAGTTTATTGTTTACTTTAATGAATATTTTTTAGAAGGCACTATCAAATAATACAATTATATTCAAAAATCTAATGGCCAAAAACAATAGATGCAAATTTTATATCTCTTACGTTTGAGTTCATAGATAGAACAAATTGTATAGATTTATAGGATTATATCTAAACCATCTATCATAATAAAATCTGATTTAGAAAAATAAGTGAAACAAATAATATTCGAACAAACAAATCGTAAATTTCAAAAAAAAATATTTTTACATCTAATACATTTTTGTTAGACCATATGTCACATAAAACATTATAAAAAATGCACTCCATGAAAACAAATATGCATTATGGCCAGTCGCATATTTATATTGTGAAGGGTGGAGCCACGTACCCCCTCTCTAATTAGAAAAAATGATAAATTACAATGAAAATTATTAAGTCTTATATATAAAAATATCATTTGGTTGTATAAAATGATAGGTATAAAATGAATGTCTCTCTTATATTATTTTTAGGTCTCATGGATTATGGCTCTATGTCGTGTATATATTTATTTTTAGCTTGCACACCCAGAAAGTCATGTCGCTACTTCTCGCCGCCCCATCTCCGGCACAGATGGCACGTCAATCATTTGTGAAGCACCTGTTAAGTTGAGTTAAAATATGAATTTCAAATTTCCATTATTTTTTATTCTATCAGATCTGGTGGTGTCGCGTGAATTTCATTTTATTTTAAATTTATTCTTCTATCTTTTTTATTTGTTAATACATTATTAAATTAAACACATTAAACATATATTGACATAAAATTACATTTAAATAAAATCATATATTAAAAGAATTATCCAATTATATAAATTTAAAATTTTTCTAATACATTTTAATTTTAATATATCAATCAAAATCTCAACTGGTATTAGAACTAATATTATACATATTGTGTCAAAATAAGTATATAAAAAATTAATTAATATAATTTTTCAAAAACTATACTGTTTATATAATACATTATGTATGTATGTATGTATGTATGTATGTATGTGATTGATTGATTAATACTTGCATTATAATAAAATCTTCTGGATTGTGGATTTATATAATATATACACTGTCACAACAATTTATGTCAGAAAAGATACATCAAAAATAGATGATGAGTAACATACACTCTCCTGTAAGGGGGAGGGGAGAGGGGTTGTTGATCAAGAGAGGAGGAGAGTACTTGGCTAATTTTTTTCTCGAACCAAGTTTGACATCATCCATCATACCGGGACTCGGCCTCACCATGAGAATGCAGAATTGGATCTAGTTGAGAGCTCTATCTCTGTCAATGTCTCCTTCTCTTCTCTGGCCATATATAGCCTCTGCATCATCCATGCTCATCATCTCTTGGATGGCCAGTATCGCAGAGTTTACCCTTTGAATAATTTCGACACGAAGTCCTCCACTTCCATCTTCTCCGCCATCACCAGAAGCATGTCATCTTAAACCTCGGTCTCATGTTCGTATTCCGAGTTGCTGTTCTTATCCGTTTGATGGGTGTTTGTTTTCTCATGATCTATTTCGAATTGCATATGTCTCAAGAGAGAATAAAAATTAAAATCTATATTAATATTTTATTATTATTTGATGCCTTTTCAATTACCCTAACCTAAAATATTTTCTAATATTACCATTCATTATTCATACTTTTTATTGCACCATAACATAAATTATTATTAAAATCATCATTAACGCTAAGATTTTTCAATACAGTACACTGTCGTCTTATTTAATGTCTAAATAGTATCATTATCTATTTTTATATTTGGACGTGATTATTTTAATTCAAACTTAATATTTTTTAATGAATCTATACTTACATTATTTTTATTTATTTTTAATTCTATGCAAATTTGCAAATGTACAAAAACTAACAATAAAATAGACTTTTTCTAATGTGCATACAAAAAAATAGTGATAATATAACCAAACTTTGCATCATCTTTTTTTTTTTTACGGTTAATCCAGGGGAAAAAGATATTCCCTTATGAATCATCAAATTTGAATCAACCACTAAAAAATCGAATAACATCTTGAAACACGACTAATTCTAAATAGAAAAGAAATCAAACGTCATACATGTATAACTTTGAAACATGACGGCTCCACTCCATTGATATCGTGCTCCATATGCCGCAGATATGGCTTAGGATTTGCCTTTGCCGCTGATGATGGTGTCTTCGTAGTGGCACTACGGGGAAGAAGCACATGTTAGATATCTGATCAGAGACAAATCGAAGTAGGTCAATGGTACTCCTATAATATACCCACAAATACAAATATATTAATATTATATATATACAAATACATATACACACAAATACATAAACATACATATATATATATACATATATACAAATTAAAAATTTAAAATAAAATATAAAAATTGCATTCATACATACACAAATATACACACAGATATCTACAAATAAAAAGTTAAAAAATAGAAAGTTATACATACATATATATATATATATATATATCCACCATTTTAGTAGAGCTCCATGATTATCATCACCATCTTCTTCTTCGGGTTCTTCACCGTTGGTTTAGTTCCACCACCATCTCATCGGAATCCACTTTTTCCTATTAAAGAATTAGTGGTCTCATGTAATTTAAAGAATCCCCTATTTTATAATGAAGCAAATAATAACTAAATAATACATGCAAATAGGTGAACTTGCAGTATATGGTAATGACAACCAAGCCAAAGTTGATAATCTTTTACACTGGAAAAAAAATGATCACGTAAGGTTGAAGAAGCTACCAAAGTGGATTAATATAAAATATAGCACAATAACAACACCAAAAAAATAATAAATATGATTATTAAGAGGAATGAATATAAGGAATGCATGTCACCGTTGGCCAAGGTAGCTGATGCAGTCTCGTCCGCGGGGTGGTCGCTACCAGCAGCAAGATCCCAACGAGTGCTGGATCTCCACATCAAGCTATCTACAATGCGATTGCCAAGCACCGCCCACGGCCCTGATAGATTCGAATGGAAGCAGAGAACCAATGTGTTTGCCGGTGTTTTCTCCTCTGCAAGTACCTGGAAACTTCTCCGTCAGCCATCGCCGGAAGTACCCTGGCACGCTCTAGCTTGGTTCCCCGAGGGAGTACCTAGATATGGCTTCATCCAGTGGTTGGCTTTTCGTGGTCGTCTACCCACGCTCGATCGATTGTACCGATGGGGGGCGGTTGCAACCTCTTCCTGCCTTCTTTGTAGCTTGGAGGAGGAGTCTCACTCCCACCTCTTCTTCCACTGCAGCTATAGTAGGCAGGTCTGGTACAGTTTCGCTCGATCCATTTGGAATATGCCGCCTCTAGATTTGCATGCCACTATGGATTGGATGCGTCGCCCAGGAAATGTCCAGTCCCATAATCGGCGTCTTATCACCCTTATTTTGCTGCAATGCTCGATTTACCTGTTATGGTCGGAGAGAAACGCAAGGATCTTCAGAGGGGAGTCATCGACGGTTGTCTCGCTTTGTGGTAAACTAAATGCCATGGTCCGTAACTGCATACTCTCTCTCCTCGGCTCCTCCCGTAGGATTGATTCGACTCTTCTATCCGATTGGTACTATCTTACTCTCTATCCCCGATAGCTGCTCCACATGTTGTTTTTTATTGACTGATATGGTGTCTAGTTAGAGACACATGGGTATTCATTTTGTAGGGTATTCGGTCCTATCCGGTTATGTACACGAACTATGTTTGAACTATTTTTATTAATATACATTTAACTTTTATCAAAAAAAATATGTCTTGTTTTGATTTTTTAATATTTATTAAATATAGATATATAAGTAGTATCATATTCCTCACCGTGGAACACAAAGGACTCCACATGACATCATTTTGTGAAGAAACACCAGTCGCCATCTCTGCCAAACCATCGTCTCCATTTTTGGATTCATTTTTATTTTCTATTTCGTTAGAAGAGATTTGGTCATATATACATTCACAATCATCGTAATAAAAAAGAAATAAAAAAGTCAAAATGGTATAATATGAGTGACCTTTGTATTATAATAAGCAACCAAACATGAAGTGGAATTCTTCACCTACACCATCGATCCTTCCCCATCTATCAAATGCCAGCGATTTGTTATGTCTTCAGATTAGAATCTCCAATGACAAATGATGTGTGAAGGGAGTGCTGTGGAAACCGTTAAAGGTGCTTGCCGAATGCCGACGAACAATTGATATCACCGCCACAGAAGTTTCCCACGTCGTTTCTCCTTTTCTATCCCTCCGTCTTCATCGTCGGAGATTCTAATATGAAGACATAACAAACTATCTGAAATATCCCAGAGCGTGATCCATCGGCTGTGTCAAATACCTTCAATGGTTTTCTCACCACTCTCACCGTTGAAATAGTCATTGGACTAATAAATGAATCGTTTTAGTGGCCTTACGTTTTTTGATTAATTTTTTCATGAATTTGAATGATAAATACATCACTTATTAATTAAAAAATAGTGGTCATTGGATTAATAACTACGACGCTTGAGTGCCATACGTTTTTTTGATTAATTTCCTTCTTAGTTTTGGGGGTTTTAATTATAAGAATAACGTTTTAGTGGCACTATACGTTATTTTAAATTCCCTTCGTACTTTTTCCTTTTTCTAATTATAATAATATAATTATTTTTTGCTATTATATACACTACCTATCTATAATCTAATTAAAAATTTTAAAATATCATGTAGAATGATTATGTTACTATTTTTATATTCAAACTAAATTTACAAATGAAATACAAAAGTTTGTTTTTTATTTTCACATAAGTTTTTCAAATCTCTTTAAACACAATTATTAATATATATAGATTTAATATATAAAAATAAAACAAAAAATATCTTTATGTGAGAAAAAAAAGTTTAAACATGATTTTCTCATAAATTTATTTTAATATATAAACTAATTCAATTTAGTGATTATTTTACATATCAATACAATACCATAAATTTGTAAACCATAAAAACCAATCAAAATTTGAGAATGTGCCACCTAGGATGCTTAGGTGGTTTCACCACAATCCTTTAAACTCCTTTATTAATATATATAGATTTAATGTATAAATTTGCATATCCTTTCTATTCTTTAAGACGCAAAAATGGTTAAATTAAATCTATTAATTAAGCCTTTTCCGACACGTGTGAAAACACAACACAAACATATACTGAAACCCAATTAAAGTCTTTTACAAACAAATATTAATCTGCTTTTTTTTTCAGGATACAAGAAATGTATTAAGAGAACATAAACATTGTAGAAAAAAGAACTGAGTTCCAGTACTCTGTTTATCAACACATAAAACAGAGCATCGAAACTTCTTTGAATCTGGGTTTTGGGAAAAAGCATATTTTTTTATTGAACTTTACTTGTCCTTTAAATAGAAAAATACAGAGCAAAAGAAAGATCGTGCAAAATCAACTGAAGAACAACAAAAATGCAGAAAAATCAGGAAATGGTTACTCGACTGTTGAACAAGTCTATTGACTTAATCAACTCATCCCTTGTCCGAAACTTCCGTCTCCAACTTCAGCCACGAACAAGATTATTTCTTGTCATTCTCCCCTTTAATCTTGTTCCCTCGACCTCAGGTTTCTGATCCCAATTGCATGACGCATCTCTTCTAGTCTGTCCCGAGGCAGCGGTTTGGTTAACAAATCGGCAACTTGCTCTTCCGTCTTCACATACTCTAAATCGATCTCTCCCTTCTGAACGCAGTCACGTATGAAGTGATATTTCACTTCAATATGCTTACTCCTGCTGTGATAAACAGGATTTTTGGCGAGCGCTATTGCAGACTTGTTATCCACCTTGAGCGTCACTTTCCGTTCCTGATGTCCCCTGATCTCGAACAGCAATCTCTCCAGCCATATGCCCTGACATGCTCCTGCCGTTGTAGCCACATACTCAGCTTCGCAGGAGGACAAAGCTACAACCTTCTGTTTCTGTGACAACCAAGTGACAGGACTGCTCCCAAGAAAATAAATCACTCCCGTTGTACTTTTCCGATCATCAACGTCTCCCGCCAAATCACTGTCACAGAAACCACCTAAATTTGCTTCTCCATCTTCTCGTGTGTATTTGCATCCATAATTGAGCGTTCCTCTGATATATCGAAGGATCTGTTTTACTGCTCCTAAATGCTTGATTGTTGGTGCTTCCATGAACCTGCTCACAACACCAACAAAGAAAGCAATATCTGGGCGAGTATGAACCAGATACCTTAAGCTTCCAATCGTGCTTCTGTATAAAGTTGCATCTGTCAGAGGGCTATCATCTTCTCTGCTCAGTTTCACTCTGGAATCCATAGGAACTCGGCAAGGCTTACAATCCGCCATACCCAGTTTCTCAAGAACCCTTTCTGCATATCCTGTTTGCTTCAGAGTTATACTTTCGGGTTCCTAACTCACTTCGATCCCCAAGTAATAACTGAGAAAACCGAGGTCACTCATTTCGAACAGCTTCTGCATATGATTCTTGAATTCCTTTATGCTGCCCGCTTTTGATCCCAAGATTATCAGGTCATCAACATATACACCTACGATTTGGACATCTTCTTCATTATGTCTCTTGTACACGGCAGGCTCCAAATGACACCTCTCGAATCCAATCTCCCTTAAGCTCTGATCAAGTTTCTGATTCCAAGCTCTAGGTGCCTGCTTGAGTCCATACAGAGCTTTTCTCAGTCTCAGCACTTTGTTTTCATTTCCCTTCACCTCGAATCCGATTGGTTGTTGAACATACACCTCTTCTTCCAATTCTCCATTCAAGAAGGCAGATTTCACATCCATATGATGGACTTTCCATCCCATCTGTGCTGCAAATGCCAGTAGTAATCTCACTGTCTCCAATCTGGCAACTGGTGCGAATACTCTCAGTCTCAGCACTTTGTTTTCATTTCCCTTCACCTCGAATCCGATTGGTTGTTGAACATACACCTCTTCTTCCAATTCTCCATTCAAGAAGGCAGATTTCACATCCATATGATGGACTTTCCATCCCATCTGTGCTGCAAATGCCAGTAGTAATCTCACTGTCTCCAATCTGGCAACTGGTGCGAATACTTCTTCATAGTCAATTCCGAGTTTCTGTACATATCCCCTTGCCACTAATCTTGCTTTATGCTTTATCACCTCTCCTTCTGGGTTTTTCTTCAGTTTAAAAACCCACTTTAATCCGATTGCACGGTGTCCTTCCGGCAGATCCGTCAGCTCCCATGTTCTGTTCCGGTTTATGGATTCAATTTCTTCGACCATTGCCTGCTTCGAGTTTTCGTTCCCTGCAGCTTCGTCGAACGAGGTTGGTTCTTCGATTGACAGCAGATACAAGTTCTCTCCAAGTTTAGCTTCATGAGTTGTATCGTACAACTCCTGCAGTGATTTGTATCCTCTTGGTCTCATGACGCTGCTATCGCTGCTCTCTCCTGAGTGACTGCTCCTCTGTACTTCTGTCACCGGAGCAACAGGTGTCGTGGGTGGTGTAAAGGTAGGAACATCTAGTTCTTGATGTCCTGTTATAGTTACACGTGCACCTGTTGCTGTATGTGATTCTGCTTCCTTGCTTTTCCAACCCCAACTCTCATTTTCCCTGAACACCACATCTCTGCTCACCACTATTCGATTGTTTTCGGGATTCAACAATCTGTAAGCCTTGGTTCCTGGCTCATATCCCAGCATCACCAGCTTCATGCTCCTGTCATCCAACCTTTTGAGATGTGTTCCAACCGTCTTTGCATACGCAATGCAACCAAAGACCCTGAAATGAAACACGTTTGGAGGTTTTCCAAACCAGGCTTCGTAAGGTGTTTTGCCTTTCACGCTCGCAGTGAGTGATCGGTTCAGTATATATACTGCCGTTTTTGCCGCTTCTCCCCAATAATGGTCAGGTACTGCTCTGCTCTGTAATAGGCATCTGATCATTTCGACCACCGTCTGATTTCGTCTCTCCACCACGCCGTTCTGTTGCGGCGAGTACGGGGCAGTGAGTTGTCTGAGTATTCCCTGAGTTTCGCAGAAGCTATTGAACGCACCAGAAGTAAACTCGCCTCCTCTATTAGTCCTCAGCATCTTAATCTTTCTTTCAGATTATCCTTCCACAACTAATCTTATCTTCTTAAAACTCTCAAGGGCATCACTTTTATTTTTCAGCATTTCGATCCACATAAACCTACTGTAGTCATCGACAAGAAGTAAGAAGTACCTGTTTCCACCAGGTGTTGTCGGAGTTATAGGCCCGCATATGTCTCTGTGTACCAATTCCAATGGTTTGCTGGCTCTGAACATGGTTGCTTTGGGAAAACTATGATGGTGTTGCTTTCCCACTAGACAACCATCGCAGCTTTCCTCTGATTGCTTGATTTCAGGTAATCCCTTGGCCATTTTACTTCTTCCCATTTCATTCAGGGCTGAAAAATTCAAATGTCCATACCTTTCATGCCACATCCACGCTTCTGCACTTTTCTCTATCATCAGACAAGATTGTTCTTATAGTATCGTAATGGTATACAGGCGATTTGGTGCCCTCGGGATTTTGGCGACCAACTTTCCCTTTGCATCGAACACTTTCATCAGTCCACCTTCGACTACGATCTTTGCTCCTGACTCATCTAGTTGCCCGAGGCTGATGATGTTGGTCTTTAACCTGGGAATATAGTAGACGTTCTCCATCCTTAGTTGTTTATGATTCTTGCATCTGAAAGTAACAGCTCCTCTCCCTTTGACTTCAATCATTGTACCATCTTCACATCTGACATTCCCCCTCACGCTTTCATCCAAACTCGTGAACGCTTCTTTGGTTCCAGTCATGTGGTTACTGGCCCCTGTATCATAATACCAAACCGTCTCAGTTGTTTGGTTCTTCCTCTGCTCCACACCTTTTTCCTCATTCAGCAACACTTTGTTGTCACTCTCTTCTGCTGTGTGAACCAACTCGCACATTTCCATCATCAATAACGCAGGTTCATCTTCTTTCTGCTCTGTTATATGAACCTGTTCATCATCTTCTCTTCTCAACTCACAGTCGACTGCATAATGCCCAAGCTCGTTACAATTGTAACAGCGTATCCTTGAGATGTCGAAGTTTCGACCTCTTCCGAAATTACCGCGTCCTCTGCCGCAGTTATTCATCCATCCCCAATTCCGACCTCTTCCTCTAAATGTTCCTTGAGTACGTCTTTCGGTTGAGCTACTTACTCCTTCTTTTGCCTCCAGACTTCCTCGAGTCAGAAGAACATGATCATCTCCATTGCTTTCGAAACTCTTCAATCGCTCTTCGTGAGCTTTGAGAGCTCCTGTTATTTCTTCAACGCTTATGTTCTTCAGGTCTCCAAAATTCTCAAATGACGATGTCACTGGAATAAATTTTGGTAACACCGACCTCAAAATTTTCTTGACCACGTAGACTTCTTCGACTTTCTCCCCCACTGACCTTAGTTTGGTTACGATCGTGGAGATTCTTCCAGCATACTCATCTATCCCCTCGTTCTCTGCCATCTTGAATCCTTCTAATTCCCACCGCAAAGCCTGTGCTCTAACCTCCATCACTCTCTCAACACCGAGATGGAGAGTTCTCAGAGCTTCCCAAGCTTCTTTAGCTGTCTTCTTGATACCAATCTGCAAGAATGTCTCCTCGCTAATACTTTGACAGATTGCTGCTAGTGCCATGTTGTCTCTCCTTGCGTCAACTGGTCCCTCGGATTCGACCGTGTCCCACACACCTTGGGCCCTCATGTTGATCTGCATCTTCATGGCCCATACTGCGTAATTCGTCTTCGTTAGCATGGGGTACTGAATTGAAATACCCCCCTCCTTTCCTTGAAATCCTGCTTCGACATGCGTCGTCCGGGTGGTGTCCTGATCACGGACAGCACTGCTTGAAGATTCTTCGCGAGACATGCACTTCGGCATTCACGGCGAACCGTGCTCTGATACCAAGTGTAGAAAAAAGAACTGAGTTCCAGTACTCTGTTTATCAACACATAAAACAGAGCATCGAAACTTCTTTGAATCTGGGTTTTGGGAAAAAGCATATTTTTTATTGAACTTTACTTGTCCCTTAAATAGAAAAATACAGAGCAAAAGAAAGATCGTGCAAAATCAACTGAAGAACAACAAAAATGCAAAAAAATCAGGAAATGGTTTACTCGACTGTTGAACAAGTCTATTGACTTAATCAACTCATCCCTTGTCCGAAACTTCCGTCTCCAACTTCAGCCACGAACAAGATTATTTCTTGTCAAACATAAGTGATTAATGCATCTGCTTCTTAGGATACAAGAAATCTTACACATAAGCATATAATAATTACAATATATATATATATGCATCGTTTTTTTTCTTTTATATATATATATGCATCTTTTTTTTTTATTAAAATCTTACACATAAGCATATAATAATTACAATATATATATATATATATATATGCATCTTTAATTACCAGCAACCTAAAATGATGATTCAATACGTTCTAAATTCAATATAAGTTTTCGCCACTTAAGCACTGCTTCGTTTTCCAAATCCCCAAGAACGTTTTGCCACCGTACGCTTCAAGGCCTTAACGCTCATCGGATTATCTTTGCTCTGCAAAAATTCACGTGCATGCATGCATGCGCATACGTCATTAATAAACCCTAATTTCGTAAGCTCATTAACACATATAAAAGAAATTAATTTTCTTACGTACCATCAGACATGTGCCTTCATAGATGTTGCAGATGGGGTAATCGTGAGGACAGCAACTGTAGTTGTCTTCGCAGCAAGTCGCGGCCTCGAGCGGGCAACATCCCCATTCGAAACAGTAAGTTCCGTACCCGAGGACGCAGCAGCAAGTGTTGCTTGTCGGGCAAGTAGTGTAACTGTCGCAAACGACAGGTGGTTTCACTGGCGATGGAGGTGAAGGACCCGGGTTTGGAGGGTTCTGTCCTTTCTTTATCGGGTAAGATGGCTCGATGGCTATCCCGCATTTGCCTGCTGCAGACTCAATGTTACGTTCCATCCTCACGTACCCTTCTTCTCCCCAGTTCTTTCCCCACGAGTTTCTCACTATCCAGTAATCCACACCGTTCTCCGAGCCGTATCCTACAGCTGCAACCCCGTGATCAAGCGAAACTCCGCAACTTCCGGTGAATATACCCTTCAAGATTCGTTCAAACAAAAAGTTACCACATCGAATTGGGTATTATGGAGAGTTATTCGAATTCTTGACACCATGATTCCCAATTCATTGAAACTTTTGTTATGGCATTCCATTCTTTGCTTTGGATTGGATAGAAGAAAAGATAGGTAGATACATACGGATTCATAGAGCTGAAAAGCCATGCCACCACCTTCAATGGCGACGCTCACGGGCTGATTCGCCACCGCCTTTTGCAGAGCTTTCTCGTTATACATTGGAACGTCCTCGTAATCATCGATGGTGACAACCTTAGCATTCTTCTGCAAAATTCATATCAATAAAAAAAAACATTTACAGACTATATAAGTAAAATTAAAAGGGCAATCTCGGTTTCGAAAAACATAGGCTAATACTATACGTTACGAACCCTGGATGTGTCGCAAACGTTGTCATAACCCTTGTAGGGATAGTCTTCGTCGGTGTCGATACCTCCGTTGTTGATGATGAACTTGAAAGCGTAGTCCATTAGACCGCCATTGCAGCCTTCGTTGTAAGAAGTGTCACAGTCCACGAGCTCTTGTTCGGACAGTGAGATCAGATCTCCTGTTACGATCTTGTTTATTCCTTCCACGGCTGCGATCGCAGAGAATGCCCAACAACTCCCTTTCGATTCAAAAAACAGCAACCAAAGTTAAAAACAAGTTTGCATTTTTCCTTTTTACGTTGGTTCGCGTTCATGATAATTTTGTTATACCATGATTTAAACATGTAGAAACCCAATTCCCGAAACAATTTGAGAATAGACAATAGAAGGAACATAATTTTTCTAAAATTTGAAACTCGTAATGTTTTTTGGAACCCACACCCCCTTGATAAGAGTTGGGGCCTTTTTGTTCTTTATTTATAGAACCAAATTTACAACGTGGGTAACAATTCATCCCAATATCCAGTACGTGCCATAAGACTAGGTAACTAACTTGAAAAAATTCAACATAAACAATATTTTAACACGTGTCCCATCTTAATGAACAAGCTTAATTCTAACATTAAATTGTACTATGATATATATATTTTGCCATAACAATTGTTATAGTTTGATTGTAACGACCCGCGTATGTAGTTTGAGTAATTGAACTATATATATATATATATAAAGATTAGATTGTAGTAAATGTTAGAAATCTGGGATATAAAAAGAAGAACAATAACAGAAAAGTAAATAGGAACCGGATAACTCTTCAAGGCGTGATACACTTTCCTAAAAACGTTATTCCGTCCTATACGAGCAAAGGACTTTCCGGAATACGTCTTTGAGATACAATGAAGAGAGAAGTGATCTTAGTTTGCTCTACTAAGAACACAAACACAGGAAATTGCAAGAAGAAGATGAACAAAAGGCTTTTGTGGGTGTTTTGCAAGAACAACCACAAAAGTGCTCTCAAATCTCTCAAAAAACGAATTAGATCTGTTCTATTGTGTTAGGATGTCCAGGGGTGTTAATCAACACTCCAAATGTCGAAAGGTGTGAAGAAATCGGAAGTTTTTCCCGAACGGTCGCGATTTTCCGCTCAATCCGAACTGCTCAGAAAAAACGGGCTGCCCGCCCGTTTTGTCGAGCTACCCGCCCGTTTATTTCTGAATTGCTCAGAAAAAACAGGCTGCCCTCCCGGTTTTCCCGAGCTACCGCCCATTTATTTATGAGCTTTATTCCTCAGAAAAAATAGGCTGCCAGCTCATATTTTCGAGCTGCCCTCCCATTTTTTCTGAGATTACCTTTCACGTTCAAAACCGAACGTAAACTCTTTCGACGTATCCCTAACACTTAGCCAATTCATACCACGTCTTTTACAAGCATTTAACTCCTCCACCATACTTGTAATACACGTTAAACATGAATCCTTTTGAGAGATTCTAAATTCCCATTCATTTACTCTAAAAATACCAACAGTAAATCTAATAAATATTTTTCTTCTTGATCGTTATATCTTTCCAAGGAACGAGATTATTTATTTATTTTATGTAAAATCATAGATAATTAATCGAACCAGAGACGTAGAGCAACAAAATGTATGCAAAACACGTGGACTCTAACCCCCAAATCGGGCCCCACTACAAAAGATATTTTTTCGATCCTTGAACTGGTGGAATCTTTTGGACCGGTAAAACCCAGCAACCCGTTTGGTACCATCAGAATCTAAACACCTATTATACAGAATCGGATTTTTTAATTATATCGGAACTGAATTTAACATAAAAAAAATAACTATTTTTTAAAATAAATTTAAATCAAATATTAAAATTGAAAAACAAAAAATCTTAAAAAATGAAGACTATCAACTGAAAAAAATAATATTGAATATTTTTTTAAATAAATAAACCGAATCAATTTTTTAAAACAAAAAAGTTAATCCAAAAATAATAAAACCAATGGAAACCGAACTGAACATCTAAACATGATTATAGTCGAATTATTGGGTGGATAATCATGATAAAAAGGATTTAATTACCACAAGATCCTTGATCTTTGACTTCGGCAACGGCTCCTTTTTCCCGCCAGTCAACAGATTCCGGCAGGTCATCGCCGACACGTGGCATGTACCGATTGGTCGTCTTCAGCGGCTTCCTCTTGGGCTTTCCGAGCCCAAGATACATGGACCGGTACTCCTCGTTGGTAAGATCCGCAAAGCGGTTCAAACCCAACCGGTATGTCCGGTTAACGGAGTTGTGTTCATCGATAAACCGGAGATTGTCCTTGAAGATCTCGAGCCGCTTCTCCTTCTCCCCGAGCTCGTTGTAGATCTTGCCGTGCTTCACGAGCCACGCCTCGTACATGGCCATGGCCTCCTCGTCGGTTCTCCAATCAGTTTTCGCCACGTGGCTCTGGCCGTACGATGTAATCGTCATGTCCGAAGCCGATGATGTCACGAGCACCGCCATGAAGAGATACGCCAAGTTCGATCTTCCTAAACCCATTTTCTCTCTTGTTTTTTTAAAAGAAAAGAGTTATTTGTTTTGGGCTTGATGAGAAGAGTTTGAAGATATGGGGAATAAGGGAGGTGGTAGGTTTATAAAGATGATAATAAAAATATTATTGAAAGAGAAAAAATATACATTTTTTATATGAATTAAAAAAGGATATCGCTATCTATGTACCAGATAACACAACATACTTGTGGCCATTTGGACGGATAAGTAAAATATCAACATGAATTTGTTCCTTATATTTAATTGTGTAAAAGAACATATATTTTTAATGAGAGTATCCACAAATATTTCCGTTGTTTTTTTTTACCAATAAGAAGAGTGCCAAAAATAGACTTCAAACTATATTTTAGAATATTTAAAAAAAAATAAAATCCAAAAAAATGAATTTAGAAAAAGTATATCACAACTCAATAAATGTGTCCAAACCGATGTTATTGATCGGACCTAAGAGCACGAACGTGTTTGGTCTCTTTACCAAGCGTATGGGATCAGCCTTTCTTCATTAACTTTCTTGTAAAAAAAATGTCAGATATATTTCTGTTTCCTTTATGGAATTTATATTCCCTTACGGAACAAGGATAGACAAAAAAAATATAACGGATAAAAGGATGTTTCGAAATTTTAATAAATTTGAGTTATTGATTTGTTAAAAAAAATATTCGATTTTATTAGTTTTTTAAAATATTTTTGATTCGGTCGTATTAAAACTATTTTTGTAAAATTAAAATAAATTCAGATACAAAAACCTAAATCGCCGTTCTTAAATATATCCATTATTATTATTACACACACATATGAATTATATTGTAAAAATATTTGTAGCCAATGAGTGAAAGGGATGAGCGAGCAAGTCAGGAGGATCGATGCGTTTACTTTTCTACCTCCTTATACACGAGGGGAAAAGATTTAGATTAGAAAATATCGAAAACAAAATATAACCTTTTAAAAACTTTTTTGGATAATCAGATATCTTGAACCAAGATTTAGATTAATTATGGGATCGGAAACAAATCGCGTGATTGAAATTATGTTCTTCTCTTTCAGTATTTGAAAATATGACTTTCTTATTTAATAAAGAATCACATACATCAGTATATATACAGCAACATAAGATCAAAATAGATCATAACAGATAGCTACAAACTAGAGATATAAATGATCAGATAAAATCAAATAAAAACAGAATCATAACAACCGAAACAGAGCTCCGAGACTTCATCCAGTTTGGTCTGTATGTGTTGATACATGTCAGCATTTCCGCCAGAACATATATACACATAATATGCCCCCCTCAAGATACGGACGCAAGGAAGAGGCTTGACAATTGCAGCCTTCCCAAAAGAACCGAAAACAGAGCTGGTTGAAGCTGCTTGATAAAGATGTCAGCTAACTGTTTGTCGGAAGAAACGTGCATCATGTTCAAAAAACCAGACTTCAATCTCTCTCGTACAAGATGACAGTCAATGTCAATGTGTTTGGTGCGTTCGTGAAAGACCGGATTCAAAGCAAGATAAATGGCCGACTTATTGTCGCAGAACAAATTTGCCGGTCCAGTAATAGAAACATCCAGATCTGTCAGCAGATTATGCAACCAAATGAGTTCACATGTCGCGTTTGCTAAAGAGCGATATTCCGCCTCCGTACTACTGCGAGAAACCGTCGTTTGCTTTTTGGCTTTCCAAGAGATCAATGATTCTCCTAGGAAAACACAAAAGCCCGAAACAGAACGACGAGAATCGGGACACGATGCACAATCAGCATCCGCAAAAGCATTTAAACGAATATCAGACTTGCCTGAATAAAAAAGTCCTTGACCCGGATTTCCTTTCAGATACCGAACAACTCTCTGCGTGGCTCGCATATGATCCACAGTCGGGCAAGAGAGGAATTGATTGAGCTTATGGACTGCAAAAGTCACATCTGGACGTGTGAGTGTAAGATATAGCAGTCGACCTACGAGTCGTCTGTAACTAGTGACATCGGACAGAGGTTCTCCGATATCCTTCGACAAGCGAGAATTAGGATCAAGGGGAGTAGATACTGATACAAGCGAGAAGCCCAACATCTTCAATAAGCTCAAGACAGTATTTGCGTTGGCTGACAGCAATGCTAGATCTAGACCTCGCGATTTCCAGGCCTAAAAAAAATTTTAGAGAGCCAAGATCTTTGATATGAAACTTACAATGCAGAAGCTCCTTTAGACTTCGAACAGCCTTGTCATCATTGCCAGTGATGATGATATTGTCGACATACACTAACAACGCAACAAAGGATTGTCCAGAAGAACGAACGAAAAGGGTATGATCAGCCTGCGATTGCACATAACCTGCATCGAGTAAAACACGAGCAAAGGTGAGGTACCACTGTCGCGACGCATGTCTTAAACCATATAGTGATTTGTGCAGTCGACAAACGACATTGGATGGCAAAGAGACACCCTGTCTTGCTGAAAAACCCGGCGGCAAAGTCATATAAATCTCCTCATCAAGAGTACCATGGAGAAACGCATTCGTCACATCTATTTGAGACAAGGACCAATTTTTCGTTGCTGCCAAGCACTACAAAAAAAATGCGAAATTCCAACGGATTTTTCCAACGGATTAATCCGTTGGAATTTTTCCAACGGATTTCCAACGGCATACCGTTGGAGTAATTCCAACGCATTTCTAACGACTTTCCAACGGCATATCAACGGATATTTGAGTTGGAAAATTTCCACGTATATTCCAACGGATTTCCGTTGGAAATAACGTTCGACGAATTTCAACAGCAATCCGTTGAAATTATCCGAACGTTATGAAACGCGGCAATAATTCCGACGGATATCCGTTGGAAATAGTCGAACGTTATAACGTTCGAAATATTCCAACGGATATCCGTTGGCAAGTGTAACGGTAACGAACTTTTCAACGGATTTCCAACGGATATCCGTTGGAACGTTTCTCTATTTAAAGCACCCGGCCATAGTTCACCCAAACCACTCTCTAAATCACTCTTATACTATTCTTTTACCAAAAATTCTCCTAAAAATGACATCTTCAACAAATCCGAATATTCGTTCGTCCCGGCAGTGGATATACGAAAGAGTTGATTCGATTACAAAAGAGGTAACACAAGAATTCATTAACGGTTTGGAACAGTTTATGAATTTTGCTTCTATGCAGCCGTTGTGTCAAGAACGTGGAAAAATGCTATGTCCATGTACAAGTTGTCGCAATTTTAAATATCGCAGTCCAGAAGATGTTTGTAAACATCTATTTCGAAGGGGATTTGTCGAAGATTATTATATTTGGCGATTTCATGGAGAAGAAGTTCGGACAATCACAACGGGACAACATGTCTCGGCCGAGCAGAGGTATGATGTAGATGAAGATGTAAGAAATCCTTATGTTGAAATGGTGACAGATGCTTTTCCTAGGGCATTGGCTGAGCAAAACTCATCACAAGATCAGGAGGAGCCATACGTCGAAACAAAACGGTTTTTCGACATGTTGGATATGGCAAATCATCCTATCTATGAAGGATGTAAAGAAGGTCAGTCACGTTTATCTCTTGCATCAAGATTGATGAGTATGAAAACAGATTACAATGTCACCGAAAGTTGCATGGATTCATTTTGTCAAATGTTGCGTGAATATTTACCTGAAAATAACGAAGCTCCAGAATCGTATTATGATACGAAGGCTATGTTGAAGAATTTGGGAATGCCTTATGAAAAGATTGATGTTTGCAAAAGTGGTTGCATGCTGTACTGGGGTGAAGAAAAAGAATTGGTTAGGTGTAAATTCTGTGGGACTAACAGATACCGTCCGAGTAAGAATGTACGGAGACAAACTCCGTATAAAAAGATGTTCTATATGCCGGTATCGTACAGATTGAAGCGTTTGTATGAATCACAACAAACGGCTTCACATATGAGATGACATGCCTCGTATTCTACCGTTGATGGAGAAATGCAACATCCATCTGATGCTTTGGCATGGAAAAACTTCAACATGGTATTTTCTCAATTCGCTGCTGAGCCTAGGAATGTGTATCTTTGTTTGTGTACTGATGGATTGAGTCCGTACGGACAGTCTGGCATGCAGTATTCATTATAGCCCGTTATACTTTCTCCGTACAACTTACCACCTGAGATGTGCATGAAAAGAGAATTTATGTTTTTGACATTGTTGATTCATGGGCCAGAACATCCGAAGAAGAGTTTTGATGTGTATTTACTGCCGCTCATTAAGGAGTTGAAGGATTTGTGGGACATTGGAGTCCCTGCTTACGACGTAAGTGTGAAACAAAATTTTACACTGAGAGCGGTT